GGACGGTTTTTGTAGAAGGTGGAAGTTCGTTTTTGAGGCATCGGTGCGTGCAATTCTCTGGTCTTACATTTCTTTTTCTCCCTCCTTTTCTTATAGATCCACCCCACCCTCTCTGTCTCTCTCTCTCTCTCTCTGTCTCCTAGCGACCTCCATGCTTCTTTTTTTTCGCTAAAATAACACGTACTGTTCACGTACAACATGTCATATTTATGGGTAGTCTTGGGTAGTTTCTTTGGAGAAAAATTTACTAGAACATTTGCAACGTGACTCCGCTCCTGGCTCACTTCTCCTCGTGTAAACCCTCCTTAACTACCCCACTTAGCATTGCAGCGCGTCTCTCCCCGCTAAAACCGACTATCGCAAGACAGAGGTCGGAGGGTCGAGAGCGCGCGTCAACACTTGAGAAGGGTAATTAGAACTTAATGAGAGCCTAATCGGTCGTGAAGTACCGATTAAACCGTCCAGATAAACAGTGAGAAGACACTTCAGCGCTCTAACGCCAGTCTGTGCCTCCCTGTATCTCCTGCTCCCTGCCCAGAGAGACGCCGGCAAAGGAGGTCCCGTCGACGTCTGAAGGGGGGCTGTTCAAAAAGATATTTAGCCTGTAAATTGCTCTAAACCCTACAGGCTAAATTTTAAGTCGACTTTGCCCCGAGAAAAATCAGTAATATTCCAACTGAATGAAATATTGCGCCTGTTTTATTACGGTATCAAGAACTAGGGTGCTTTTCATGTAAACTCCTTATATTCTTTTACTTTTTACCTCATACCTCTTGTACTCACCCAGTTTCACAAATAAATTAATAGATAAATAAAGAAATAAATAACATAATAAATCACAAAAATTATTAAATTTGAAATGAAACGGCAAGGATCTGCAATAAAAAAACAATTTCCGAAATGAAATAATAACAATTAATCAGCTTCATCAAGAACGTAAAGAATGTTTAAATACGAACAGTTTAAAACGTAAAGCACATTTGTCTAGATTTGGAATTATTTCCCCTACTAAGAGCGCCGTCATTAAGCACCGATGGAGGTATGACTACCAGGGGAAGAATCTACCTCCAAATAACGGGGGCCGTCTATCAAGAGATCGCGATCGTGATAAAAATCACCAAGTACATTCCTCCTTTTATCTGGTGCTAAATTACAAATTGGTCCAATTTGGGTTCAAAGTGAGCCAAATTAGCCATTTCTTTGTTGGGGAGTCCACAGACTAAATATCAATTTGTCAAAGGTATAAGGTCCTACAATCGTCTGAGATCTGTAGGCCTAACTTACATTTATCCATCAAATCTCTTCTAAGAACTGATTTGAGTTTGATTTCCCCAAAAAATAATTACACCCATTTCTTTCTGCAGAGGATCCTCTCATTTTTTTTAAATTTTTTTTTCACTGTCATTCCTTGAGCTTCAGATTCTCGCAGACTATCTCCTCAAATGGCGGTGACAAGAAAATCTAACCCCCCCCCCCCCCCCCCGCCCTTCGATTTTTGAAGTCTCTCCGTACTTATCATGATTATTGATTATTGTAATAACCCTTTTGTTTCTCGTGTTATTTTTGTACCTATCTCGGTGTCTCTACTCCTATTTTGGGGACTAAAATACTGATCAGTAGAGGTACAAATACACGCTCTAATGATAACCCTGAATGGAAGACTGGTGCCTTTTAAAATATGTTGACTTCCTATCTTTGTTTTAATCGTAGTAAAAATGTGAAAAGAATAATGGATCTGCCCTTCTTTTTCCATATAACCAGTGTTGCATGGATTTAAACCTGCGAAACAAATATTTTGTAATATATGCATACAAAATTGACGGTGAAGTTATCTTAATAACACTCTTTCTTCTGATTTAATGAAAAGAAACAAGATTAAAACAAAAGAAGAAATGAAATTATATAATTCCGGTGGGTGTGTACAATAACGTACACAATAACAAAGGAAAAAAAAGTCAGACAAAAGAAGCTAACTCCGGCAATTACTCAATCATCTTTTCGTATTCCAATTCAAACATCCTCTCACACACACAATCATCATCTCGAACCGCAACATTTTTTCCGAGTCGACATTAAATTTTCCCACAGCGTTCGCCGACAAGCCGAACCCTCCAGCTCCCGTCAGCCGAGCGCCAGCGTGTTTTCAACGACACGGAGACAACCCGCTAATTGGCTCTGGGCGGGGAGTGATTAGGTAAAACAATGCTTAGGTACCCGTGTCATTCAACCCTATAAACCCAAGTCAAGTTAAATAAGAGAAACGTTTGGCATTCGATTCACTATCCACTCCACCGGGCCCGCCTGAGTTAATCCTAGGCCCGGTGCTATGAGTAAGGGGGAGAGTGATAAGGTATACAGGTGAAGGGGCCTCGTGTGATAAAACGGACAAAACGCGCGTCCTGCACGGTGGATTAGCGGTTAATCTGTCCAGCTAGCCGCGGCAGGTTAAGTGTCAGTGTTAATAGATTCACTGAATTAAGGAGGCGTCTTTGCATAGTTATCAAAGAGGACGGGCGCTATTACATTCTCTATTACCTGGCGCGGGTTACTGGCAGGCAGAGAGGGAGGTAAACAAGATACAAGGTCTGAATTACAGGACAGGTGGAGAATGGAGAATTTTCCCCGCAATTATTTCACTCGTACAACTGCCAACTCTTCTAAATTTTTTGGACAGTCAATGCAATTCCCTAGTGAGTTTCCATACCTATATGCATGTCAGTTGCCAAATGGGAGAAATAATGTTGACAATCCTGTAGCCTCGACTGTGATATTGCCATTTTCTTAACTTCTATGTATTCCACAAAAATTAATAAAATTTCAGTGTTAATTAGACCGGCAATTTTACCTCCGATTTGAGGAAATATTGACTTTTTGATACCACCGCCGATCGCCTCCATTCAACGCACGGTGATGGCGGCTTTGGGCACTGTCTCTAACTGTCTCCCGCGCGTGTTCTCTGGACAGGGGTGCCGGACGAGTGTCGCCTGTCAACACACCTTTCCGCTGTGTGACATAAATGACACGGGGAGAGGCGGGTGACAATGGAAAAACAATAGGGAGACAAGCTAAGTGCACTTGCTCGTATTTTCTGTGTTTTTGAGATGTTGTTTTTCATAGTGTAGACATAGCTGCGACAGAGAAAGGTGCTGGTAGCTTTTGACCGTCTGTCTTCTCTCTGCTCAAAGCTCCATCCTCATCTCTCTCTCTATCCCCAAATCTCTCTAAATTTCTTTTTCTCTATCCCTCACTCGTTTGTTAAGTCTTGATTCAAGAGGGCGCACGTAAAACAAGGAATATGAATTAGAGAATTAGAATAGAGATTTTTCTATGATATCTCAGTTCAACACCACCGTTTAACGGCAACTGGGTGGACCATTCTATCCATCGTCTTGAATTCAACTGAAAAGAAAATATTGTCACTCGACATTTTGTTCAAGGGCACACTTCTACTCCTACACGCACCGACAAACGAAAAACCAAATACTCTTTTTATTGTTTTAATTCTTTCAATTAAAGTAATTATTGAAAATTGCTTTAGTTTCCTTACTTCTGTCACAGCTTGTTTCCTTTTTCTTCTGTATTGTGTAATGTTAACTGATCACGTTCTCTTTATTTCATTACCGAACAAAATTTAATCTGTACAGTGTGGAATGCCTGTCTCTCCTATTTTAAAAATTGGATACTAATGTCTTTTTTTCAAACTTCAGCTTTCTTAACATTCTAGAAATTCAAATTCTCTTCTTTAATTTATTTTTCCTGTTTAGTATTTTAACGAACATTTCAAAATCATTTCTAAGTCTACATTTTACTGCTATTTTTGCTTTTCTTATTTTGATTACGAAATAAATAGAAATAAGGAGAGAAAAAAAAAAAAAAAAAAAAAAAAAAACAGGCATTCAGTCGATGAATTATAAAGCACCAATTGCTACCACCAAAGTTAGCCTTGTGTAACTCCGAAGACTAGACTGGAATGAATTCACGAAAAAACTTACAGGTTTAATCAACAAGTATTGTCGCCGAAGAGGGAGGTAGTCGTGAATAGAAAACGCTCTGCGTTGGAGTCATATGACAAGAGACAGAAGAACAAACATTCTGTCAATCTGGCGTGTTTGTGTGTGTGTGTGTGTGTGTGGGGGGGGGGGGGGAGGGGTAGGCGGGGAGGTTGGTTGTCTCATGCCATAGACACCAAACATCCTCAACAAACCGTTCTTTTCTCCTTCTTCTAACTCGACCGTTTACCCCCCCCTTTCCTAACCAAAGACAATAATTAAGACACGAGGCGCCTTAATTTAGACACAGCCTCAAGGTGTAAGGCCCCCGAGATTGCGGTAATCTTTTCTTCGTGACCATGTGCTCTAAACACTTCAAATAGAACTATAGAAAATTGATCAAGCTTAGTGGTAGCTGAATCAATGAAGCCCCCCCCCCCCCTTCTCTTCTGTCTTCTACCTCATCCCTCTCTCTAAAATATGCCACAGGAACCTTAATTATGAAGTCTTTTCTTCGTTGTCATGTGTTCTAAACGCTTAAAATGGAACTATAGAAAATTGATCAGGGTAAGTGATTGCTGAATCTTTCAATACTGCTTCTTTCTTCACATTCCCTCCCCCCCCTCCCCCCACCCCTTCTAAAATATGCCACAGGAACTTTAATTAAGACGTCAACGTAAAACATAGCGCACCCGGAGTAGCGGTAATGTTTTCTTGCTCACGATCGCCAAACAATGGCGGGAGCGACAGACGCAGGCGTGGACTTTAATTGCCCAGGGGGGATGGACGGTCAGCAATCACCGTGTCAACTTCGTCTGGGGGCCAGGAGGAGTGTGAAAGGTGTCATATGTGGCTTTGAGGCTTTATATATCAATTAAGAGTCTAGTCAAGGTGCGCTAATAAAAATCCGAGCGAGCGCCACCACCCATACCAATTTAGATCGCAACGAGCGCTTGTGTTACAAAAGGTTATGTTCGTGAGAGAGAGGCGCCATTCGAGGGCTGACTGCGAAGAAGGAAGAACGGAAATTTCGGTGGGGAATACGCTGTCTTAGAATACACAAGGAATTCACTTCGCGAGCACCGAACACAGAGAAACAGAGAGAGAAATAGAGAAAGAGATTGAGAGAAAGAGAGAGAGAGAATAATTCCTATTTTTATTGATCACAAAGAAGGAATGCAGGAATCGTGTATTCCAGCTCTCATACCATACAAGACAAAAGGAAGCACAAGTTGGATTACAGCGACTGTCATTTAGGACAGAAAAAAGTTGCTCTTATAAAATCGTCGCTGTGAGAAGGAAACGATCTTTCTGGTTCTTTTAGAACGTTAGGGGCTGTTTATCGTGTTAACTTGTGAAGCTCGTGATTTTTTCGTCATAGGCACAGGTATACTTTGTGAACACTAAAAGGATTCCGTTACTTTAATCCATTTTGTTCACCGAAACATAAACCCACAAGTTGCAGTTTCAAAAATATGCTTTGTGCATTGTTTCAGTTTTAAGCATGGGTCTGCACTGACGATAAATGGCTCAAAATTCTCAATGGGAAAAATTCAAAACAAACTGAGAACTGTTTAACAACGTAAAATCGGACAACGGATTAATCGTGCTTATTTTCTTGGGGTTCGTCTTTTTTTCTAGCGTCACTTTAACCTTATTAACTTTAACTCTGCACGAGCTAGGAACATTTGAAGCGTGTATCAGCTTGTGAGGTACACTATCGAGGAGACAAGTATGGTCGCAGCTGTCACGAGAATGCATAACTGTCAAAGCCAAACTTTACACCTTTAACTTAATCACAAACCAAGGAGTTAATTACAGACTTTGGATAACTCGGAGCAACGTTTTAACTGGTTGAGAGACGCTCGGTCGCTTACCTCGCGGGTTTACTGTAAATTGGCGACGATGGAGAGCCAAAAGATGATGCCAAAATGTAAGCATGATGTGACGAAATGATGGTATTTCTTTTTTACCTGTGTGTGTGTGTGTGTGTGTGTGTGTGTGTGTGTGATCAGATGATGTCAAATATAAGCATAATTTAAAGACATCGTTATATCCCTTTTTTACTTTTTTATGTGTAGGGAGTGCATTAAAATGTTAAGTTGTTCTCATACATAAAATCAAAATATGACGATCGTTTTAATGGAACTGTTCGTGTTTTTGCAAGGCGTGATTTTAAAGAAAATACATAGTATAAAACTGTTGTCATGTTTTACAAAAACCAAACTGCTGCTAAGGACAATACTACTGTGAATTTGTTACGAAACGGAGCCAGGGTTAATCGTGAGATGTTATCTCTGTCTAGCGATGTTTATCTGGTTGCGGCATTTCAATAGGGTCTTTAAATCATTGACTGAAAGTGCTTCTTGTTTCTCTTCACCGAGAGAGAGAGAGAGAGAGAGAGAATTTTGGAGCAGCAGTACCTAAGTTGTGCTCGATCAACCCAATGTTTTCTGGGTTGTATGTGCTTGTATTTTGAATGTGAAATGTATATTTCCACCACTCACCGCTAATCTCAGGCTGAATCAGTGACGGTGGTATTTTAGTTTAGTGTTTTTACTGTTTATTTATCATTAAAAAGACATCTCATTTAAAAAAGCTATTTCCATTTTATTCCAGTCATGCAGCACTGGTTGCTCCTAATCCTGGTCGCCCTGTCTCTACCCCTCCCGTCCCAGATGATGACCACAAACGCCATGCTATCTGAAAATACTATATTAACAGGTAAGAGATAAGCTTGGGGAAGATAACATCTCGATCATTTTGCAAGGTCGGTAAACAGCGGTGTTTTCAGGCCTACCCAACTACCAGACTCGGCACCTAAGGATCCTGAATTAACCGGTATATCGGACCACGCTACCCGTTTTCAAGGTGTGTGTCAGATCGCATTTCGGAGTATCATACCCCAGAACGAATTTTGTAGCACGACTGCGGGCTCATCCACGCTCGGCTGAACAACCTTAAACTGTACTCTTACTTTAGAGTACTCTATTTTATTGTCTCTATGGGGATATATGGGGACTTTACGACATTCGGTTTGAATGTTTTAACCACTTTTGATAGGGCTTTTTTGCATTGTATTAGATTAATGTGGCAGTCTAAGGTTCATCTAGGTGGCTTTCAAAATTATGCACCCAGTTTTAAAATCATATAGCGATTTTACGACAATCGTTTACTTTCCAAACAAGGTGACAGCCGAGCATGCCAGGGCTCATCCTGTCGGTGTTCTGGCTGATACTCCGAAATGCGATCTGACACACACCTTGAAAACGGGTAGTGTGGTCCGATATACCGGTTAATTCAGGATCCTTAGGTGCCGAGTCTGGTAGTTGGGTAGGCCTGGTTTTCTGTGCACGGCAGACGACAGCTTTTGTGACGATCCCGGGTCAACGTGACCTAGCGTTCAGGTAGCCTCTGATATCGGAGGCTCCTAAATAGTGTACAAAATTACAATAGGAGCCAAACAACATTTTTGTAACAGATTTCTAGTGCACCCTGCGGTCAGGGAGTAGCCTACTATTCAGACCGCCCTGTCACCTGGATAGTTGAAATCAGTTTACTTTTTAATCTTATTTCTTTACTTACTGAGGGAGGGGGGAGTAAAATGAACTTTTAAACAGTTACAGTTAATAAGTAGGGATATATGGAAAAGTGCTTATCTTTTTCTCATTTCGATATTTTATTGGGGGAGGGGTTAAGTATTAAAAGCTTCATATTTTAAAGTTTATGATTATGCAATTTTAATAAGTTCAAAATAATGATGTAAATCAAACGTTCCTAGTTGCGCCGGCTATTTGAGAAGAAAGAAAATGAAATAAAATGACTTTTTTGTCTTTTTCAGTTGTGCCAAAGTCCCTGGAGACATGTTTATTTGACGAGACAGAATATCGCGTGGGTGACGTGTGGCACCCCTTTCTGAAGCCTCACGGGTACCTGCAGTGTGTTAACTGTACCTGTAAGCTGGTGAGTAGCCCCCCTTTTGTCAACTCTCTCTCTCTCTCTCTCTCCTCACACACACACACACACACACACACACACACACACGCATTATTTCACATACTTTATTTTCAGGAGGAAAATGTTTTTGGCTAATTTTGAATATTTTCTCATTTTTATGTACAGACACAGATGTGTCTGTACATATTGCCATCACCTGCGTCTGTCGTCGCCGTCGCCGATGCCGATGCCGATGCCGATGGCGATGCCGATGCCGATGCCGTCGCCGGCGCCGTGCACTTTCCTTGTAAACACGATAAGTGGAGGGCAGTTTTACTTTTTGGCTTAATATTTACAGAGCTGATGAATANCCCCCCCCCCTCCCCCTCCTTTCTAACCAAAGACAATAATTAAGACACGAGGCGCCTTAATTTAGACGCAGCCTCAAGGTGTAAGGCCCTCGAGATTGCGGTAATCTTTTCTTCGTGACCATGAGCTCTAAACACTTCAAATGGAACTATAGAAAAATGATCAAGCTTAGTGGTAGCTGAATCAATGACGCCCCCTTCCCTTGTCTCTTCCTCCCTCCTCCCTCTCTCTAAAATATATCAGAGGAACCTAATTAGGAAGTCTTTTCTTCGTTGTCATGTGTTCTAAACACTTAAAATGGAACTATAGAAAATTAATCAGGGTAAGTGATTGCTGAATCTTTCAATACTGCTTCCCTCCTACCATTCTCTCCCCCTTCCCCCCCCCCCCCCCCTTCTAAAATATGCCGCAGGAACCTTAATTAAGACGTCAACGTAAAACATAGCGCACCCGGAGTAGCGGTAATGTTTTCTTGCTCACGATCGCCAAACAATGGCGGGAGCGACAGACGCAGGCGTGGACTTTAATTGCCCAGGGGGGATGGACGGTCAGCAATCACCGTGTCAACTTCGTCTGGGGGCCAGGAGGAGTGTGAAAGGTGTCATATGTGGCTTTGAGGCTTTATATATCAATTAAGAGTCTAGTCAAGGTGCGCTAATAAAAATCCGAGCGAGCGCCACCACCCATACCAATTTAGATCGCAACGAGCGCTTGTGTTACAAAAGGTTATGTTCGTGAGAGAGAGGCGCCATTCGAGGGCTGACTGCGAAGAAGGAAGGACGGAAATTTCGGTGGGGAATACGCTGTCTTAGAATACACAAGGAATTCACTTCGCGAGCACCGAACACAGAGAAACAGAGGGAGAAATAGAGAAAGAGATTGAGAGAAAGAGAGAGAATAATTCCTGTTTTTATTGATCACAAAGAAGGAATACGGGGATCGTGTATTCCAGCTCTCAAAGCGTACAAGTCAAAAGGAAGCACAAGTTGTTACGTTAGGGTTACAGCGACTGTCATTTAGGACAGAGAAAAAGCTGCTTTTATAAAATCGTCGCTGTGGAAACGAAACAATCTTTCTGGTTCTTTTAGAATGTTAGGAAGAGGTAAACTGCGATATTAACCAACAATCCATGTTAACTTGTGCAGCTTTTTTTGTCATAGACATAGCGGGAAAAGATACACTTTCTGAACACAAGATAAGGACTCGATAACTTCAATTCGTTTCAGTTTTCGAAACAAATCCACAAGTTGCAGTTTAAAAAATATGCTTTGTGCATTGTTTCAGTTTTAAGCATGGACCTGCGCTGACGATAAATGACCCAAAGCTCTTAATGGGAAAAATTCAAAACAAACAGAACCGTTTAACAAAGTAAAAACGGACAACGGATTAATCGTCCTTATTTTCTTGGGATTCGTCTTTTCTCTAGTCTCACTTTAACCTTGTTAACTTTAACTCTGCACGAGCTAGGAACATTTGAAGCGTGTATCAGCTTGTGAGGTACACTATAGAGGAGACAAGTATGGTCGCAGCTGTCACGAGAATGCATAACTGTCAAAGCCAAACTTTACACCTTTAACTTAATCACAAACCAAGGAGTTAATTACAGACTTTGGATAACTCGGAGCAACGTTTTAACTGGTTGAGAGACGCTCGGTCGCTTACCTCGCGGGTTTACTGTAAATTGGCGACGATGGAGAGCCAAAAGATGATGCCAAAATGTAAGCATGATGTGACGAAATGATGGTATTTCTTTTTTACCTGTGTGTGTGTGTGTGTGTGTGTGTGTGTGATCAGATGATGTCAAATATAAGCATAATTTAAAGACATCGTAATATTTCTTTTTTTACTTTTTTATGTGTAGGGGGTGCATTAAAATGTTAAGTTGTTCTCATACATAAAATCAAAATATGACGATCGTTTTAATGGAACTGTTCGTGTTTTGCAAGGCGTGATTTTAAAGAAAATACATAGTATAAAACTGTTGTCATGTTTTACAAAAACCAAACTGCTGCTGAGGACAATAGTACTGTGAATTTGTTACGAAACGGAGCCAGGGTTAATCGTGAGATGTTATCTCTGTCTAGCGATGTTTATCTGGTTGCGGCATTTCAATAGGGTCTTTAAATCATTGACTGAAAGTGCTTCTTGTTTCTCTTCACCGAGAGAGAGAGAGAGAGAGAGAGAATTTTGGAGCAGCAGTACACAAGTTGTACTCGATCAACCCAATGTTTTCTGGGTTGTATGTGCTTGTATTTTGAATGTGAAATGTATATTTCCACCACTCACCGCTAATCTCAGGCTGAATCAGTGACGGTGGTATTTTAGTTTAGTGTTTTTACTGTTTATTTCTCATTAAAAAGACATCTCATTTAAAAAAGCTATTTCCACTTTATTCCAGTCATGCAGCACTGTTTGCTCCTAACCCTGGTCGCCCTGTCTCTACCCCTCCCGTCCCGGATGATGACCACAAACACCATACTATCTGAAAATACTATATTAACAGGTAAGAGATAAGCTTGGGGAAGATAAAATCTCGATCATTTTGCGAGGACGGTAAACAGCGGTGTTTTCTGTGCACGGCAGACGACAGCTTTTGTGACGATCCCGGGTCACCGCGACCTAGCGTTCAGGTAGCCTCTGATATCGGAGGCTCCTAAAATAGTGTACAAAATTACTATAGGAGCCAAACAACATTTTGTAACAGATTTCTAGCGCACCCTGCGGTCAGAGAGTACTATTCAGACCGCCCGGTCACCTGGATTGTTGAAATCATTTAACTTAATCTTATTTCTTTACCTACTGGGGAAGGAAGGAGTAAAAAAACCCTATTAAACAGTTACTGTAATATGTAGGAATATATGGGAAAATGCTTTTTTTCTTGTTTCGATATTTTATTGGGAGAGGGGTTTAAGTCATTAGCTTCATATTTTAAAGTTTATGAGTATGTAATTTTAATAAGTTTTTTAAAATAATGTTCCTAGTTGTGCCAGTTATTTGAGCAAAAAGAAAAAATATGTAACGATTTTTTGTCTTTTTCAGTCGTGCCAAAGTCCCTAGAGACATGTTTATTTGACGAGACAGAATATCGCGTGGGTGACGTGTGGCACCCCTTTCTGAAGCCTCACGGGTACCTGCAGTGTGTTAACTGTACCTGTAAGCTGGTGAGTACCCCCCTTTTGTCACCTCTCTCTCTCTCTCTCTCTCCTCACACACACACACACTATTTCACATACTTTATTTTCAGTAGGAAAACGTTATAGGCTAATTTTGAATATTTTCTCATTTTTTCAAAAAGTAGGATCAAGTTTGATTTTGCGAAACGTAATATACTAATAAGCAATATAGCAAATAAACAACGCAGGCTGTTAAGACGAAGGCGTACACTCATTTATAATACATTTCTTCCATATATTGAACAGGTGCGTTGGTAACGCATTTTAACCGTGTGTGTGTATGAGTGTGTGTGTGTGTGTGTGTGTGTGTGTGTGTGTATGTGTGTGTGTATGAGTGTTTGTGTGTTTGCCCTGCTTTCTGCACGTGCGACTAACGCGGTTTAAAGAAGCTGTGTGCGTGCGTGAGTGCGTGAGTGCGTGGGTGTTTGTATGTGTGTGTGTGGGGGGGGGGGGTGAGGGGGCGACTCCCCCGGCTCCTTCCTTACCCCTCCGGCTCCTTCACCTCTTTGTTAAAAAAAACAAGCTGAAATCATCACGATCTATTCCAGGGTGGAGAAGTAGAATGTGAGACAGTGGACTGCCCGAAGATGGACTGCTTTAATGTTATCCAGAGGCCGGGGCAATGCTGTCCGACATGCTTAGGTTAGTATGGATATTTCAGTATATCATTCAGGGTATTCTTAGCCAATCACATCACATTATTTTTGTTCATTGAATGATAATTGTTGGATACGTAATTTGATGATTTTTATGGAGACGTGAATAAGCTGCGACTGACTGTGTCGTAAGTTAGATTTTTGACGAAGTGCGAATATCACAATTGTGTTAGCTGCGAAGGTATTTTCAATATATCAAAATGGTTTTATATTTATTGAAATATCGGCATGAACATATGATTTATTTTCAATCGAATGAAATGTTCAATTATTCCCCGAATTTGATCAAAGTGGTCTTAAATGATGTACTTAACCCACTGCAACCGATTGTATTGTCAGATGACCTTCCTCCTGACGTCAGCAAGAAAGAGGAGCGAGAGAACGAGAGGCTGTACCAAGACTGTTCCCACCACGGTATACAGTACCAGCACGGGGCGGTGTTTGCCTCCAATAAGACGGCACTGAAACCGACACAAGACAACCAGTGTGTGCAGTGCACGTGCGCGGTACGTTTGAAGTTCTCACGGTCCGGTGTAACGAAACTGAGGGTTCGTGTAACAGACAGTCCGCCCTCCATATAGTTATAATGGTTAGGGTTAGCCTGACCTAAGTGGGTCAAAATCTAGGGCGAGGCTTACCTGTACAAATGAATGGGAAGCGGACTCTCTGTTATGGGGAACTCTCTGTCACGTTACACCGGTTTGACAGAAATGATGGTCTGCTTGGAACCGTGGTCCTTTGCCCATTGCTTTGTGTAGTGAAATTGGCCCCCATTTTCTAGCCTCGATTTCTCCGGCTAGCCCCTACGTTGGTCCTCGTTACATAGTTCCAAGCCAGAATTTTGCTCGGTCTTATTTAATATAAATGTGCAATAGTCTACTAGAATAAAACACGGGTGCTCCAAATTAACTTTAAAGTTTCAAATGAACTGTAATTACATATTTGTCTGTGGTCAAATTCAAAGCTGATGTTGCGTCGTAAGTAACAAGCATATTTTTTTGGAATCAATTAGTAACATTTATTATCTCATTAAAATGTTTTCTTATCTAGGACGGGGATGTGCTGTGCCGTTTAAAGACCTGCCTCCCTCTGCCGTGTACAAAACTCATCTACATCAAAGAAGACTGCTGTCCAGTATGTGAGGGTGAGTTTTGATCATGGTGATCACTGATATTTTTATTCTTTTTACTTGCGGCCAACATTATAGGCCTATCTTTTTTAGAACATTTTACTAGCCGAGACCATTTCTGTCGCATGTTCTTTTAACTTGTTTGAAACTCACAGATTGGTTCTTATTCTAAAAACTAAATGTTTATTCCATTCATTAATCAATCGATTCGTTCATGCGATAATTCATGCGCCTATTTTCCCATCTTTTTATAAACCCTCTTTACACACTATTTCCAATACGTGCTTTAATGATTATGCAAATATAATCTCGCAATTTCTCGCTTTTCAGACGTGAGTGAGTTGGCGGGAACCCTGGACAAGAGCTACCCGTCTAACGTCCTCAAGCATGGCGAGACGGTCAGCAAAGTGGCACTGGGAGAGTCCAGTTACAGTAGAAACTCCGGTAAATTTCCGGTTTTTTCTTCTTCTTATTTTTAACTTTTATTTTTGTTTTCAGTATTATTATTGACGAGCTTCTAAATGTCAAAGTCACTTTAAGATTGATCGTGTGCAGATTTTTGGGCGCAAAAAAGTGAGATTAAATTTTTATTTAGATTTTTAGGTTATTTAGGTTAAATTAAGTTCACCGTCAGATACATGTCAAATTTTTAACTCTGTTTTTTTTTCTTACTTAGCTTCAGCCGAGTGTACGATTGCATATGTTCCTTGTAGAAACCACAGCTTTTATAGCTACGAATCCCGTTATCTCCTGAGAAAAATTTCGACCTTGAAAAATTCTTGTAAAATTTAGTAAGACAAAAAAGAAGAAAACATCACAATCATATAAAATGAGTTATATAGATCATAAAGATAACTGTCATTTTTCCTCCAGACTGTCAATCAGGTGGGCGTGCCTACAGGAACGGTGAGTCGTGGCATCCTGTGGTTGGTCCATTTGGGAAAATGAAGTGTGTGCTGTGCACGTGCGAGGTAAGTCACATGACTCATTACATGTCAGATGAAAATTCATCTTATTTAGATAATTCCATTCCTTTTATACCTCTGTTTATTTCTGGTAACAAAAATAATAAATAAATAAATGAATAAATAAATAAATAAATAAATAACAGAACATTGTTTCATTCAGAGTGTTTATTTCACTGAAATGAAACGAAAAAAAACCTACCGAATAAATGCAAGGTCATTCTCTACGGACTTTATCTTTGTGCCTTTTATAGCGGGGTCATGTCTCATGCAGGCGCCCCATTTGCGAACCCGAGGAGAATCTAACGTGTTCCGACCCCGTGAAACCGGCGGGCGAGTGCTGTAAGCGGTGCCTCAGTGGTAAGGGGTGTTAATTTATACGCATCAGAACATGGGCTGAAGAATTTTTTTTGATGAAGTATAATATTTTGAAGAAATTCAGTGTTTCTAAAATTCTAAGAAATTCTAAGAAATTCTAAGAAAAAAATTTGTTCTGCCTAGCATGGTGGGCAAAAATGGGTTATTTTTAGACCCTGGGAGTAAAAAAAAAAAAAAAAAAAGAAAACTATCAATGTGACTCTCACTTTTTTAAGGTAAAGTTATTCATATGGAAACATACTTTATCTTTCAAAAATTTTCCTTGGTTAAAAGATAGCTATCTATCAAATAATAAACTACAATTATAATTGCTAACTTCAGACGCAGACAACTCCACGACCAAAGAGAGCACCTACTCGTTCCAGCTCCCCACCAACAGTCCCCGTCTGTGCGCGCCCCCTGGTGTGGAGTACCTGGTTTACGAACTCTCCTCCCAGTCTGAGTATAGGATAATATTTAGAGACGATAAAAAACAGAGAATTGACCAGCTTAGGTGGCAGTTACAATCAGGTACGGCGATAGGAACATTTACACTTAGAATTTGACTTAACTGCGATCCAGGAGTGCGTGCATTCAAGGAGTTTTTCATCAAACTTGCACCATCTTTTTTTTTTATTTTTCATTTAGAATTCATGATTTTCATAACCATATTTCAAGTAACATCAGTGAATAGTGACTAACGACCAAAATTTTCTACGAATATCATAATGTTTCACCTCAATTTTACATTGTTTTTTGTTTAAATTTAGTCATCTTATTTTGCCTCATTCTAGATTCCTTAAGTGCGTTCTACAGAGAACGCCTAAACACACAGGACTTGGAGATGTTACTCAAAGAAAAGGAAGACAAAAAGACGTCACTTTCAGCTTTAGGCGCTTCTATAAATAGTAAGTTTTTATTTCATATATATGGACATATCTACCAGAATGACGATGTGCAAAAATCACGTTTTAGACTGAAATCCGTAACATTAATTTGTGATTTATAAATAAATAAATAAATAAATAAATAAAAATCATTTCTCTTCCAGAATATGTATCACGATTTAAACGCAGAGTGTATAAATATATGCAGCATTGCGGGGACCTATGTCAGCTCTCGACAATCAATAAACTGAAGAAAAAACTCAAGCTTCAACCGCCTGTGTACAGTGATGACTGCTAGTTGCCAAAGTCATCAACTAATGTTTTCATGATCAGATTGACTGTTGTACAGCAATGTGAAACTTCACGACTCCTGTGCGTTGTGAAAGAACTGCGTTGGCGCTTGCGTGCGCCTGGAAAGTACATGCGCATACGCACGTGCGCACGGGGAAATGTTCGAACGCTAAAACATGATGCTTTGCATTGTGATATTGGGTGACCCGTGAAAGTTATAGTGCATCACTAATGACATGTAGATATTTCGGATGGCAATATCTATTATAACCAAGCGCTGACAAAGCCACACCCACAGGGGGCGTGTCCTGAGTTGTTACCGCCCCCAGAGTCACGCCCCTAAGGTCAAAACAAGTGCAATTTGTAGCAGACTGTCAATACATGAAAAACTGACATTGTTTGTTACAAACGTGAGCTTCAGCCTGTCGAAACGAATGTGATTTTAAAGAATGAGCGGTTAAAGACGCAGCTGCGGCAGGTACATAGTGAACTTTGGGAACGAAGAGAACGGTGTCGTCTGCGTCATGTCGAAGGAGGCGTTCTCTACTGATAATATAACTTTTCAATATTTTGCACTGTAAAATTATCGGTGCAAAACTCTCCATGGATAGTGCAAACACACGTCAAACCATTGGTAATGGATACTGCAGATTTCAACCCGAAACTTCGTGGTAGCAAAATCTACTGGCCAAAGTAAGATTCCGGTGAAGATGTTCAAGACACAACGCAGATATTTATGCTTTTTTAATACCATAAAAAAACTGCATAAGGAAATACTATGTAGATTATACACAAGTGTTTTGCAGGATTTTATCCAAGATCGTCGGTACATGGATCAGAAGCTGGAGAGTATTCGGCGTGTGTCGGGCTGGGAGGGAGGTGGGGGAGGGGTAAGGGTGCACACGAAAAAGTTTTATGCACGTATTAAGACTCCACACAAAAAGTGGGCCTTAATAGTCGTGTCCAATAAACGGACAGCTTTAAATGGCGTGGAATTGTTGAAATGAGGTTCCCAAAACAGAATATGAACCGTTCTCGTACTTGGTATTTAGCAGTTCTTGTACATACTATTTGTGAAAAAATACTACATGCTTGTACTGTGCTGTATAATCCATAAGAGAATGTTCGTGGTGCGGCTATTAACAGGAGGGTTTACACACTAAGTGGTTCGCACCAAAAACGAACCATGATTACTGCCGAGTCAGCAAACTGCGGCGTCATCATATACATAAGGGCTCACGTGTTCAAAAATAATTAAAACATTTGATTCTGTTTGTTGTGGGACCTGCTGAAAAAAAATAATCAACACATTGAATTATATTTTTCCCGTGTCCTTTTCACTAGCAGAAAGTGTGTAAACCCGACTTTTATTGCTTTATTTGTAAACAAACTATTAACTGTACTTTCACACAGGATGAATATGTTTCACATAATAGGCTAGTGGGTTCATTCTACAAAATGTGAGAAATGGATAGATATTGTACTTTTACACAAAAAGATATTTCTTTTCTGTCAGCTATGGCAGATTTAGATCAAGGTGCACTGAAATATTCATTTAAAATAAAAAACACCTCTAAGTCTTCTTGTGAAGCTAGGGCCAAAGGTGCAATTATATCAGCCCATCTTATGAAAGGTAATACTTAGAATACTTATTTATATTATACAGAACTTTATTACATTTGGGGCTTTAATTATGTATACATTGTAAATAAAATATTTATCGGTCTTTTCAATACATTATTGTCAAAAACCATGATTAAAATTTGATGCATGTAAGGATTCCCCGATGTATGTAATAATTTTTGAGAATGTCCTCAAGAACTTAGTTGAGAGTGATAATTATTATATTATATATAAATATATATGAAATAGCATGAGGCATGATATTCTTTTGAAGAACAGAAGCAATTTGAAGAGATTATTTTTTATTGTTTGCGTAATTTATCAGTGAATAAATATATTATCAGTTTATACATCTAGCCTTTTTTCTGGGCTGGTTTGTGGTTCTCTAGATTTAATCATGGCCATTTAAGACTTCAACATTCAAGATCTTTTGACTGCCTTCATTTCCATTTTCTACAATCAGCACTGAAACAATAATGTTGTCCTGTAAACAATAATGTCTCTAGCCAATCAAAATTCATATTATGTTTGCTGCTGAATAATGTTGTCAAATGCCCAGCATTTTTTTGTCTTCATTTGGCTTAAGAACAAATTTTCTTTAGCCCATTATGATAATAATTTGTATACAAATTCCTCGGATGACAGTTAACTTTCATTTCAAGGAAGGGTTTTCACATTCCAGTTTTTTCCTGAACAGAACTTGGGGCACAGAAAGAAATCTACTTCATATTTCAGTCTTTACATTGCCCTCAACAAGACATTAGCATGGACACCAGAACTGAAAGATCTTCTCTGTTTATAGGATATTTTGGATAACGCTCGAGGCTTGGACTTGGACCTTTTTCTGAACATAGGCACTGGAAGAATTGAAATGTCCCAATAATATAAAGGTCACTGTAGAACTTTCCAGAAAAGCTGTGTAGGTATTCCCCAAAATGCCTCAATTGTGGAGTTTCCTGATGTTTGTGCCAATTGCCAAAGGACTTGGCTAGTAAATATCCATGTATTTCTGATTCTTGAACATGTCCATGTGGTCATTTCTTTTTGAAGAAACTCATCAGTGACGTTTGCTTCCCACTGTGTTTTGGGTCTGGGGAAGTTTTCTTTTTGGTTGGCTGAACCTTTTTATCCTTGTTTCCACTCTAGAAGAAAAATTGGAAGAGGAATAATAAATTAATAAATAAATAATAAAAATAATAACTTATAAATAAATAAATAAATACAAAAATGTAAGAAGCACACACAAATTTTTCCAAAATTTCCACAATTCAAACACTCCTGAAATCCTTCCTCACTACATTTTGAATAAGTAGTCTAAATTAAATCTATTCACAACAATCACCAGTAAACAGACATTTAATACAGTATCTAGTCAAGAAGAAGTTAGGTTATATATCCTCCATGAAAATTTGAATTCACCTTGTCTGAGGATTCTTGTTTTGACTTAGGAGCTGTGACAGGGGCAGGTTTTGTTGGCTCGTCTATGTCCGAGGCATCTGTGGAGGCCGTCTCCCAAACCTCCTCTGTCACTGGAAGAAGAATTTTATGGTTGAAATCTTTAAGGCAGAGACAAAGGACGTGCAAATCAGAAAATAGACAGCAAGTCTGACACACATACAGATTTTATTCTATAGACTTCTTCTGTGACTGTAAGTATAATACTATCTGTATTCAAAATCACTTTATCTTTTTTCTTATTCTAATTTTCTTTTATTGAAGAAAACGCATAAAAGTTCTACATCATACACCTCCTACTTACTATCTCTCACAGAGCTGACACAATGTATTTGACAAGACCTTTATTTTTTCTTTTAAATTCATAGTGCGCATGTTCTGCTTTTGAAATCATGTTTAATAGTATCTCTCTGCGATTTGTGCAGGGTCAAAAAAGAGACCCTTACTCATATGACACATGACACATCACATGACACATCACATGATGACAACTCACCCATGAAACCTTGTTTATCCATGTAAGTATTTGTAACTTTTTTGCGTCGCTTCACTCTGTGTTTTTCTGAGGATTCATGCTTATTACTGGCTTGAGCGTGAGAATTCCCTGTCTTCTTTACTTCCTCCACTTTTTCTTCCTCCTCCTCTTCCTCCATTTTCTCTGGTTCAGGACTGCTGGGGATGTCTGCGACAGGACTAGGGACTGGACTCTCTGGGATGACCTCTGGAATGTGGAGGACTCATTTGGAATATTGTTCTCTTATTCCTGAACATAACTTTTAAATTTGAGTTTTCCTTTAATTGCTTTTACGAAAATATGGATTTTATGGAGACGGTACATGTTCTTTCCACTTTCAGGCCTGACATTACTGATGAGTCAAAAATTTTCAAAGAATTTTTCCTCAAAGATTTAAGTTGTTTTATATCTTCTGAATCATCTTATACAATTCATATCTCTGGCAAAATCATATCCCCATAGATTATTATATTTAAACACACAAGTGCACAGCTCATTTGAGCTCATACACAGTCACATGCAGGTTTATGTGAGGCACATGCTTCTGCTCCTGCATGTGCTTCACGTAAACAAGAATGCATTCACACTAATCACTGACACATGCATGCACATCCACACACACACCTACACACGCACAAGAACATGCACACATACCGTCCTCTTCATCCTCCTACTACTTGCCACAACTTGTATCCTCTCTCTCTTTCTCTCTCTCTCTCTCTCTCTCTCTCTCACACACACACACACACGTGAACACACACACACATGAACACGCATACACACACACATGAACACACGTGAACACGCGCACACACACACATGAACATGCACACAGCACGCACACACACACACACACGTGAACACACACACATGAACATGCACACACACACACACGTGAACACACACACACACATGAACATGCACACACGCACACACGTGAACACACACACACACGTGAACACGCACACATACCATCTTCTTCCTCCTCCTCTCTGCTACTCTCCACAACTTGTATTCTCCTCTCTCTCTCTCTCTCTCTCTCACACACACACACACACACACACGAACATGCACACACGTGAAAACACACACACACACATGAACATGCACACACGCACACACACACACGTGAACATGCACACGTACCATCTTCTTCCTCCTCCTCACTGCTACTCTCCACAACTTGTATTCTCCTCCTCTTCTGCTTCTGGGGTGCTGCATCTTCTTCATCTGAGTCCTGTTTCCTGGTCTTCTTAGATTTTTGCCTGTGTAAGAAGAATATTACAAGGATATGTTTGGTGAAAGGCTTCACTGTTTGCTACTTATTCATATAAATAAACATATAGTATTAAACAATGAAAAATTCATGATAATATCTTGTGTTTAATAAAACTGTGGAGGTAATTTTTCAACCTTTCCGATTATCAATATTATAGATGGTTTTCAAATATTCCATTAACCAATTATATTGCGAATAAGCAATTTACATCCTAAAGAAATCTGTTAACAATCTTTTCATGATTTACCCTCTCTTTGGTGGCGATTTTTTGTTCAAATCTCTCTGTGGTTTCACGGTGACTGCACTGTCTTTTTTAACACTGGGTTCCACTTTTGTAGTCTCCGACTTTGTTGTAGGTTCTACAAAACAAATACACAGAAATGGAAATGGAAGTGCCACAAATATTGACCTACTTCAGTTATCATATTTAAATCTTGTTCAAGGGGCAGATAAACTTATTTAATGGAATAATAACAGTTACTTTCATTATTTATTTCTTATACAACCCACTCCATTATTATGCATTTCAATGCACTTAACAGCCACAATAAAAAAACTCTAGAGAGTTACAGTACTAAAATAACACAAACTTAGTTAAGTTAAAATACATTAACAGAGGGATAAAAATTATATATTCTATGTTCTAATAGATTTGGGTTGTTTCTTTACCAGTGTGACTGAAATGCGCAATACACTGCAATACAGCGCAATACACTTGAAAAAACAAGTTTAGTTGCAATCACACAAAAGAAACAGCCATTTCCAACAACGTAGGGTGATATAAAAAAAAAAAACTGCATTACTTTTTAAGTAATATTGTAGGTAAAACTTAAAGCAATAATAACTCTTCCTTTGAGATTCAAAAATCTGCAGGAAATACATTGTAAACAACGCATGGAAATATATTCTATTGCATTTTACCACTAAAACGGCTGTTATTGTAGTAAAACTAAAATCTGTGCTTGTCAGTAGGGCTTTCGATGCCTTTCTTCCCGATCGTCAAGGCATTAGTTGCCAATGACGTTTGGGTGTCACGCGGATTCTAGCGTTCAATCGAGACCAAAATAACATATGGCGCCAAACGCTAGTGCAGTCCGCAGACGTAAATTGCGAGTTTTTGTACAGTGCGTCGGATAACCAACAGCCCAGAATGCCACACATTGTGGATATAAATGCATTTTTAACAAAAAGACGAATATATATCATGAATTTTATATTATTGTTATATAGTGTTGTTGTTGTCTGCTTTTCCCGCGGTTTTAAGTAGTGACTATGCACTGTCAGAGAGAGCTCCGTCAGTTAAAATCTCTTAAGAGATTTTAACAAAAAACTGTACGTTTAGGAAAAAAACCCTGGATTAACTTTGAATGCAGGAATGGGGTCGTTGACCATTGGTAAGTACGGGAAAATTGCCGTTTTTTCCAGGAAAAACCAAATTTTGGCCAAAACGAAGAGTTATTATGACTTTAACAAATCGGCGAGACTTTTATATTGTCAGGTCAGCAGCCATAATTGGCGAGTAGCTCTTCTTGGATATATTACTGGCCAAGAAGAGCCACTCGCCAACATTGCAGCTGACCCAACACTAAAAAATTCATCAATCTCTTGTGGTGTATCAGCAATATTCATTACTTACATGTACTGATATATTTCGCTTACATATCAACCTATTTTGTTTGAATTCACCCTTTCCCGTGTTTACTTGTGGCTGGACTTGTATTTTCAAGCGTATTGCGCTATGTTGCGCTGTATTGCACAATTCAGTCACACCCTTTCTTTACCTTTATTTTGTTGTTTGGAGAAGAAAGATCCTATGCCACCATGTTTTCCTTTCCCCTTGTCTGGCACCTGATGACATGAATATTGATATTAAATTTTTATAAGAAAAAATGTTATACATACGTCAACAGAAAACAATCTGTTGAGTTTTAAGTCTTCAGGAGGAATTCTTTATAGTGTTAATAGCCTTCAATGCTGTACTGTTGGGTTTATCTCTCTCACACTCTCTTTGCATAAATCTCCTTACTAAATAACAAAACAGTATAATCTTGTCCCCAATCTTTCATTTTAATCTTAACCAGTTCACTCACCGTTTCTTTTTGCTCTTGGTCCCCTTTCCCATCCTCCTTTTTGTTTTCTTCTTTGTCTTCTTTCTTCTTTGAGACATTAGAAAACATGCCAGCAATGCCAGCGGGTTGTTTGGGCTTGGGCTTGGAACCACTGGTGCCATTCATTGTTGTAACCTAGTAGAATAACATAATGAACCAATAAGAAAAGTCAATATCCAAAACTGTTAAATAAATTGCTTTCCTTTTTGGCCTCTTTTTGACCTCTCAACATCTCCTTTTCATCATCACAAGTGCCATTCACTATCTTGTCCCTATATCCATTACATAAAATTAATTTACTGATCCTAACTTTGTTTACATTGCTGCATATGGTAAGGTTTGATGACTAAGAGAAAAGAGTTGAAATTTCTAGGTCATATGTTCTAATGTCTTTTTAATTAATATGTATGAAAAAGGTTTAATGCCCACTGATTTCCTTAAACAAAGGGTACTATAAATGAGGTTTTGTATTTTACCTTAGCAGGTTGCTCTGTGATAACTGGACGTGAAGCTGCCTCTAATTTTTCCAGCTCCTCCAAAGATCTTGGTTTACATTCATCTGATCTAATGGCACTGAACCTGAAACAAAGCAAGCAATGGCATCTTATAGTTTTAATTCATAAACTGCATGTAAGGCATTTGCCTAAAACATCTATACATCGAAATTTATAAGTATGCCATTTGTTATACAGCTGTCAGTACTTTAAGAAGTTTCTTCAATCAAAAATTAACTGATAAACAGACTAATAAAAATTTTATTAAATAATTATTAATAAGCTGGTTATTAACTAATCAGCTAATTGTCAATTAGCGAATAAATCAATATATAAATAACGTGTAAAATTATTACAACTTTCATTTTCATTTAACCGTTATAATAATTGACTGCCTCATTAGCAAGCCCTGGAAAACAGAGTATTGCCTCACTTACTCTTTACTCTGTAACAAACTCCCTTTTAATGTATCATAATCTGCTATATAGAGGGCATTGGAGTCCTGAAAACAGAAATATCAAAGATGATTAGCTTAATTTTTCTTTTAATATATGATTATGATAGACATGCCCTCAGACTTATCATCATTGAAACAAGGCANCAAGAGATGGGTATGGGGTCCCTTACCGTCTAGTAGGAGAAGCGGTAACGGTAACTTGTAGGCGGAGCCGGCGGAACGATCCGGTCGGGACTAAAACCATGTGTACCGCCAGCGCTAACGCTGGTGGTACAATAACATTCTGTGATGCACGCTTATAAGTTAACATTATGCAAGAGGGATATATTGAAATTATATTTGCCTTAAAAGGCTCTTTATTCGTACTTTTGATAAAGCATCTCCAAAATAAATTATCAATTTCAATTTTCAAGAAGTAAATAAGACATTCTCATGGAAAACACATTATTACCTACCTTTTTGCTCTTTTCTTAGCAGTTTTGCTTTCTGCTGCCTGCTTGTTAGCTTCCAACTTACGATGATATTCAGCATCTTCTTTTTCCTGTAATCCATTCAAATTATATAGAAATATTAAAACATAAGCAAGTGAATGCTATTTTGATAACAAAAGTGAAAAGTTTTTTCTCACACCCACCATATGGGCTATCATTGGATAATTATTCACTGATTAATTACAGCAAGGTCAAATAACTGACGTTTTTGTCAAACATAAATGTTTCATATTATCAAACAGTATACCAGTCAAAACAACAATAATGCTCATCTTGACAACCTTTTCTGTCTTCTCTGTCATAAACTTTTGCCTGGCATATTCTCTCCGCCGTGTACCTCTGTACACATGAAATTCTCCACTTCCAGCACCAGCACTGGAACCTATATATATGGAAGGATAAATGTTCGGAAAATATTCAAGTACTAATGAACATTTAATTATCTAAAGTTAAGGAACATAAAAGTGAATAAACATTAACAGAGTTATATATTATACCATTTTACGTATAGTAAAATGTTGACTTCAAGCAAACTTTCAACACAGACTAATATGTATATCAGAATATGGTTTCACACTCTTAATTTATAAGAATTTGAAACGGTAAAAACCCACCCCAGACATTCCTGACAAATTCTACGGGCGCTTTTGGAGTATATTCTTTGGGTCTACTTGGTATGAATGCTTCTTTCTCCTATGTATGAAAAACAGACCACGCAATCATTTATTAAAACAAATCCAGTATAACCGATCCTTTAAAATATAGGAATGGATAGAAATGGGTCGAAATGGACCGATATAGACCTTAAGGTACGCATAGCAAACCTCTTGAAGATCGCATTTGAGTTCTACATACTGGTATTAACCCATTACAGTGACGTCATGAAATATTGCTGTCAGTTATGACTTATCTCTACATCGTGAAGCTGTCAGAAATAATTTCAGCATTCTTGTACTTCATTTTGGTTCATTAGAAAGTACATGTAACAAGACTGTTGTTTGAGAGAGTTTAATATTCACCATGAATGCAACCATTCATACAGGCAACATAGTTAGGATTTTATTATTATTCAGTCATTCACAGAAGCAAGGCATTTTTAACACTTATGTATTTATGATGTCCAATGTAAAATAACAATAATGCAGTTCATGAATTGATCTTCATTTCTGCAACCATTTGCTTAAACATATAGGAAAAGTACACATTTTGCATGAACATGAAATGCTGAGTTCTGAGTGTCGCTTCAATTAAATAATTCCTGTCATGCACTGGATTTCACTCTCCTGATGCTCAGATCCCGTCTCCTCAGCTGGTCACAAAGATCTAGGAATATTTTTTGCTGCTTCTACCTTGCGTGTCATCTAGCTGCCTTTTGTACCTGTCATCAAAAGCTTCCGTTTTTTATTTATTTATTTTTATTTTTTTTAATAATTTACTTGCACCCAATCAGTGTGGCTTGGTGGGAAATGCCTGATCAATTTCCTAAATGTTAATTAATAGAAAGATAACATTGTGATTTTTATTCATATTGTAACTTACAACATTACAGTTGAAAGGAGCAGAATTTAACATTTTTACAGAGGAAAGTGCAAATTCATTTCATGAGGTTATATGTCAATTACACCTGAGGTAGAATTTACTTGCAAAATAAAATTACTCTTATCACTACATCAAATCGAAAATTAAGTCACTAACTTCCAAATACACTTCATACAGGTAATTGATTTAATTGGCCCAGCTCAGCTGTGTACAGTACAAATATAGCCTTGACACTAATTGGCAATAATGCTAACCAGGTATTAAAGAGGTAGGTGACAGCCGATAAAATCTAGAGAGCACCGTAACTGATAACAAATTACACCCAAGGCAATAGGTGAGTCTTCACTATAAAAGTCGAAACCCTGCCTGGGTATTTCCACACGTTTTAACAAATTAATACACTCTCCACCCAAACTTATTGGGCACTACTTTAAATAAATATGCAGTGTACGTGTGCCCCAAACGTACACACCTAGGTCTTTGGTTTTGTACTGTTTTTTCTTTTATGGTAAAATCTGCACAGCTGGCTCTTCATTCTTTGCTATAAAATAGATTAGTTTTATTCCTTTACTTTTCAAAGCCACCTAGCCGTCTCTCCTCCGTTTATTGTTTTAGTTCCTTCATCATGGATTGTTACCACTGCAGGCAAGTGTGAACGCTTGTAAAGTTAGTTATCTTTTCTCGATCAAATAACCTGCAGTAATTCATCATTTTGCTCGGTTAATTATCAAAGGGAATACAGAAAACGAAAAGTGAACTACTGACATGGCTTGTTCATGCGCAGCAGACGATTCCGGTCTCCCTCCAGAATGGCTGCTGTTTGTTTTGATGACGCAGGCTCTAATGGGTCAATAGTGGAACTTATTACCAGTACATGTATCTGTGGTAGGTAGATCACAATCCGCTAGGGGCGCTACAGTCGTAACTATCCACGGGCAGTGAAGTGTAAAACTGAAGTCGGCCTGCTGACAGTTCGCCTATGGAACCCCTTTTTTAAATCTCTCTTTTAGCGCCGCGTAAAAAAACTAATACAAGCCATTAACTAAATAAGTTGTAAATCAAAGAGTAAAATCCGGTCACGTGATTTTCCCATGTTTTCTGTATTTGACAAGTTTCGGTTCTGCTTGTTTTAAGTTTTGCCTCTACAAAATGCTAAAAAATTTCAGGCAAGTGCTGGTATCATCTTTTTGAAATTTATATCCAGCAAAGTTTATGAAATTTGCTATATTAATTATGTAGAAAAATCATGAAATTTGAAGGTTGCGAAGTATAGTTAATTTAATCCGCAATATTACATGATGTGAAAATTATCACAGGGAAATAGCTTTGCCCTGATTAGTCACAGGCTATGTGAGCCAGACAATAGGCTGAGCACACAAAGACACACAGGGTGCTCTGCTGCGCCTGAGTGATCACTGCTGGTCAGTGGGCACAGGTTTTGAGCTGAGAAGTGTGGACACTTTTGGTGGATTTTTGCAGTTAAAAGANAAATTTGAAGGTTGCGAAGTATAGTTAATTTAATCCGCAATATTACATGATGTGAAAATTACCACAGGGAAATAGCTCTGCCCTGATTAGTCACAGGCTATGTGAGCCAGACAATAGGCTGAGCACACAAAGACACACAGGGTGCTCTGCTGCGCCTGAGTGATCATTGCTGGTCAGTGGGCACAGGTTTTGAGCTGAGAAGTGTGGACACTTTTGGTGGATTTTTGCAGTTAAAAAACTTCAATATCTTTGTTGCTTGTAGGAATATTTAAAAAATTTCAAATGATTTCATCCGGTTTTTGCATTACCTTTCAGATGATATAAGTATTTTAATTTTCTGATCAGTTTGAAAATTTTTCTGATATACCTAACTACTACACCCAAACTGCTAAATAGACGTTCAAGCCTGGTGATATTTTTAGTTAACAGGCATCTGTGTTCTTTTCTGACTAAATGAGTGGTATGCATGAACTCGAGATAAATATACGAGCCAGGGGTAATCCTGTACGAGCTACTAGTCGAGATCGAAAGCAGCAGCCCAGGGCAGGAGTATGAAGGTCCTACGTTCACTGTTACAAATCAAAAGACAAGTTAAAATCAAAACAATTTCATTGAGCCACAAAAATAACTTCTTTTCTCACTTTCCAAAAATTACCTACCACTTTATTCTCGTCATTTACAAACTCATCAAGATTTTCCAGGTAAATTTGGTCCACCGCCATTTTTATTTCCCGCGGATCTTGAAGGTCGCGAGATTTCCTTAAGGTCAAATTGAGAATAGTAATATCAATACTGTTCTTTACCTTAATATTTTACATACGGTGAAGAATGTGATGTTTCAATGCTTTTTACACCGTTCTGTGTGTTTCAGATATTATAAGATGAAATGACAATTAGAAATGGACAGATAAATACAGTAAAACGAAGACGTTAACTTGCGAGATTTCAAACCAGCATGGTGGACATAAACAGAGAGCCGTCATTCAGTGGTACAACTATTTTGCATTCTTAACTTAACTCAATCTTGCCAGGATTATCCGAAAATTTACTTCAGCTTTAAAATGTCTTCCGACGATGCTGTGCAGTCTACAAACGACGATGCAGCCCACTGTAAGCGGTTTGCAGTGTCTCAAGGCTATTGGAAAGACCCCTATTTGCAGTACTTCGTGAAGTCATCAGATCGCAAAGCCCCAGAAATTTCACGAGGGTATTTCGCGAGAGTCTCGGGTGTCAAGTTGCTACTGAGGCAATTTATACAGGTGAAAAGCTAGGGATGGTGAAACGATAAACTATATAGTTGTTCTCTAGCAATTTGATGTAAAAATACGAATAATAATTTATGTATTTTATTCATTAGTATTTTGAAATTTCACCTGCACAAATGCTGTCGTTAAAACACCTTGCCTTACCCTCCTTCAGTTTAAGAACTTTCTCATCTGTGTACCGTAGGTAAAGCCACATGTGCCTTAAGTAGCAGATTGAAATTGAATTACTTGTCACAGTAAAACATGCATGCAGGGGCCGTAGCAATAGTCCGAAGTTTCATTGATCCGAATGTTTGCTATAGAACCTTTGGACCAATGAACCCTTGATTAAAAAAAAAAAAAAAAAAACGATGAAAATGTTAGCATTTTTTGGACCAAGAACCTTTGGACTATTGTGACGCCCCCAAAATGCATGACCTTGTTAATTTATATAATATATTTCATATAAGTAATATATCCCTGCTATTATTGTTTTAGCTAACTAAATCTGGCTGCCAAATCGTGAACCTGGGAGCTGGTTTTGACACACTTTACTGGTTACTGCAGGACGAGGGGTTGTCACCAAGAAATTTCACAGAAATTGATTTCCAAGGAATTACATCCAAGAAATGTTACTACATAAAATCTAGGAAGCAGCTTCTAGAAAAAATTGCCAAAGAAGGTAATTTTGTTTTATTCATTTATTTATTTATTTATTAGTATTTTTTGCGTAAATGGTACTTTGCATAATCCCCAAACCAATGATTAAATTAATAGCAGTGAATACTTTCAGTACATTATTTTTGTAAAATGTTAAAATTATACATGCATCACATAATATGTTATGGCAGTGTAAGAAAGATTGATTTCTTTAAACTATTATTTCCCAGTGAGGACATGAATGCTATGTACTATAAACACATATACACCCAGATCCAGACAAGTACATGCTCAAACACGCACGCACATGCACGCACACTTAGCAGCAGCAGCACACTATAACATCTAGCTTTATCTCTGTGTTTATTACATTACCAACGACCACCTCTTCAGATGGGGAGATCAGTTTCAACAGCTTCGATCTCCATGCAGCAAACTACCACATAGTTGCTGCTGATTTGAGGGATGTCGCCCAAGTTACTCGCAAACTGCACGAGGCAGGAATCGATCCCAAGCTACCGACTGCATTCATCGCGGAGTGTGTGCTAGTTTACATGGAGACTTCTAAAACTGAAGCCTTGTTGAAGTATTTTGCTGACCACTTTCATACAGCTTTCTTCATAAATTATGAACAGGTAGTATGTTTTCATGGTAATTATTTAAAAAATTCAAATACGTTTTGTTCTAATATCACACTTTCTCAAGATTTATCATTTTTAGTGACATAAAAAATTTACTTCCTGACATGACGTTAACTTAACTTTTCAGAAGCACTAAATCAGCATTTAGATGGGACAAAATATTTTTGTGGAAACTAATTAATTCATATTGTTCAAATTTTCATTGTAATTACAGTACATTAATTAATGTTTTATATGACACAAGAGAGTGTCTTAAAACATTTTAATATTTAAAACAAATTTTCTTTTTTTACTATATATTCAAGTAAACCATACAGTTTACTCTGATTCTCTATTGTGACTGTTTCATCTAGTAGAACTTAGAAAAAAAATGCTCCTTATTTCAGTGCCCCTCCTTAGTTTTTAGATTTAGAATTATTGTTTTTAAAACTTGGAAAACTTGTTTAAATTTGGAATGAATTTTTTTTCTAAAATGAATTACTTACACAGATAAATTCTGCATTATGTTGACACTGATTTTTTGCCCTTCATAAGGTCAACATGGAAGACAGGTTTGGTGAGGTGATGTTGCAAAATCTCCGAATTCGGCATTGTGATCTTCAGGGTGTCCCAGCCTGCAGAAGTTTAGACACACAGAAAAACAGGTAGGTTTCTTTTCCTTCATTTCAGGGGTTTCCCCAGGATTTAGGGTATTAACCAACCAAACAACTAATCCACCAACCCAGAAATTTTGTAAGACTTCCAGCAGTCTTTGAAAATATAGGGAGTCTGTTGAGGCAAATGGCGACTGGGTGGCTCTCTGGGGAAAGCCTTGCTTCCTTTTCAGTCTTAGAACATATGTGTGAGGGTTTTTGTAGGACACAGTAAAACAGAGGGGATTCTTTTTTCCTTCCTTCATTGTCAATCTTAGATCACATAGGTGAGGTTGGTGTTGGGACGTACTGAGTGTATTTATTCTCTGANGCTGAGAAGTGTGGACACTTTTGGTGGATTTTTGCAGTTAAAAAACTTCAATATCTTTGTTGCTTGTAGGAATATTTAAAAAATTCCAAATGATTTCATCCGGTTTTTGCATTACCTTTCAGATGATATAAGTATTTTAATTTTCTGATCAGTTTGAAAATTTTTCTGATATACCTACCATTATCCACAGAAGTAGAGAAAACAAAACATGTAGGAGGGCGTAACATAAACAGGATATCAGAAGCACACCTTAGCCACCAGATTATTTCTGGTTTGATGAATTTTCTACAATTAATTAAACAAATATTAGAGGATTAAAATGAATTAAGTTTTAAGAAATAATCCATTAATGGATAAAGCAACGCGAACTGTTCTATTCGTCGATAACCTTGATCAACTGTGGCTCTCTGCAAACTCCCAGTTACGCACTCTAGGTATTCAAGCATTCGGTAGTTTATCCGTTGCTTAAGGACCTTGCACGGAATGCCTACACTTAAAATGATTGCTTTACAACCTTTTCAATTACTCGGTTTTAAGATTCTCTCCATCTGGGAGGTAAGAAAACATCGAATTCCATTTGTGATCTCCAGTGCATAAGAAGGCAATCTGTAAGCTTACCTTTGATCACGTCATATACAGTCGTCCTTGGCTATCTTCAACACTGAAATCGTGTCAGCAGTGATTTTCCGGGTCAAAATATTATTTTAATTCGCTGTTTAAAACCAAAAGTTGCCTTCATCAAGAAAAATACAATATGTCTTCCAGTGCACGCGCTTGGAAGTACATCTTGATTGGTCAAATTTGTCAGTCCCTGGGAAGGCGGGAGAAGGTTTTCTTGGTATTTTATGAATAATTAACAAATTGTTTTCATTTTTGTACTCAACAGATATAAAAATCATGTATCTGCACCAATGACTTATCTAGTATTGCCAAAAAAAGCCCAAAAATATCAGACCAACTTTCACAAAAGCCATCCAATCATTGAGCAGAAAGAATTTAAGCCCGATTATTTACACCTTTACTTTGACCTACTTTTGATTCGCCGTGAAGCAGGTACCTGTTGCGTCGTGGTGTTGCGGACGGAATGTGATCTCAACATACTTTAAAGGTAAACAGATGGATTGTTTTGAAAAAGAAGTTCGCAGTTATAGCTTGTAATATATTTTGTATTTCTTTAATGTTAACATCGATGGCCTGTGTGTATTTTTATCGCATTTTAAGATAATTTTTATTACTCCAAATTATCTTTTTGTCCGACACTGGCTGCATGCACTGTTAGACTTGAGTAGCGCAGCATGGTTGGGTATACAAAAAATAACAAGCAGTGAAGTAGTATTGAGCTGGTGCTCGACATGCTTTGAAAATTGCACACTTGGAATTTTATAGTTAATCTTTTAAGGCAAATAAATTAAAGATATTTGATTATTATTATTATTATTATTATTAATTTATTTTCAATTATTTCCAAATTGAAATAAAATAAGTTTGATGCTTGATCATTCTTCAATTTGAAGTCCTTTGCAAGACTTTGTTAAGCTTTATGTAAAATANAAGATAATTTTTTTTACTCCAAATTATTTTTTTGCCGACACTGGCTGCATGCCCTGTTAGACTTGAGTAGGGCAGAATGGGAGGGGTATAAAAAAAAAAAAAAAAAAAAAAAAAAAAAAAACAAGCAGTGAAGTAGTATTGAGCTGGTGCTCGACATGCTTTGAAAATTGCACACTTGGAATTTTATTAGTTCATCTTTTAAGGCAAATAAATTAAAGATATTTGATTATCATTATTATTATTTTTAATTTATTTTCAATTATTTCTAAATTGAAATAAAATAAGTTTGATGCTTGATCATTCTTCAATTTGAAGTCCTTTGCAAGACTTTGTTAAGCTTTATGTAAAATACTTGTAATGAAAATTTCAAAAACGGAGATAATGCTCAGAGCATGTAATATGCTGACAAGAAATGTTGATGAAATTGGAGGGTTCAACTGTCTTATGATGCGAAGATTGCCATCAGATAACAAACAATTTGGGAAAATGCACTTCTGAAAGCATGATAATATTATTATTCTTTATACAAACAATTTCATTTATTTTTAGTGAAGTTTCATTAGTTCATTGTATATAACCTATTCATATAATTTTGTGTTAGATTAAAAGACTTTTAAGTAGGCATTATAATTAGCTTTCATTTTATCTTGTTGTTTTTTTCTGTGGATTAGATTTTTACTGTGTATTGTTTAGGCAATCTGCAAAAAATGGGCAATTACTTTTCTGTAAGAGACATGTTTATGTTCCTATTGATTTTTTCTTGTTGGTATGCATTCAGTGCACTGACTTATATATAAATTCTGAGTTTTTTTTTTGTTCCAGGTTCGCCACAAACAGTAAAATGGAAGTGCTGCATCACAGTACTGTTTTCACTGTAGCTGCTTTCACAGTGTTATGTCTCTCTGGTTGGGGGATCAGTGCCCTGCCCAACCTCACCTGTCCCAAGGACCTGCCACAGGGGTGCTCATGTAATGACACCACAGCCACATTTACTTGCCGAAACACAAACTTTCAAAATGCTNTCTGTCCGTAGGATTATGTGCCCTAAATGTTTTACAGTGGTATTTAAGATGCTTGATGAAATTGGCTTATCATTGTATGTTGCATAATGATGGTAAAAGAGAATGGCTTCTAAAGAGATGGAATGGGATTTCTGCCTAAAGGGGGCATGATGTGCCACATCGACAGTTAAGTGATCGAGGCTCTTTGACAAAAGGTCCAATCCTCATGCCTTGTACTACACGTGAAGGTTGGATATACATTTTGCCTCTTTAGAGATTTTTCCTCTTTTAACTGATTTTCCTTTTTTAAAATATTCTCTGTGTGAAAATATTCTTTAAATTCAAAGATAATTATGTTAGTTTGAATAAATGAAAGGAGGCATAAAATTAATGCTTAAATTAGTTGAAGTAGACTTAAAGGTATCATTTGATGAGTTTTATTGTAAATTTAACACTTTCTTTTTATTTGATAATCATTTGCAAGATATTTGCATGGTTTTGTTTTTTTTGGTTACATTGAAAATGCAGAATATGCTAGATGGTTTATCCAAGCAATTTTTTACTTGTCTTGATATTGTTAGGTTTTTGTTAGGGGTCCTCCATTGTTGTCATCATGTTTATAAGTCTATAAAACCATACACATGGGAAGGGGGGGGTTTAATGCCATCTGTACACTTTTGTAAAATAGTAGAATTATCCAAATTGCTGTCAAAGGTTATAATTTTTTAGCTTATCATCTTGTACTCTTTGAAGCAGGGGTGAGGTGGGGAGAGGGTATGGAAAACGTTTACTCTTTGTAGACTGGTGGAACTGATGATAAAAATGGACGACCCCTTAGTTACTTAGTACTTGTTTTCTGCAGGAGAGGAGTTGGGAGAGACCTCCCTCTAATCTACCAGTCTGGTTTGGACTTTAAATATTGTATCATCATTCATTTTCATTTAATGAAGTACATGAATAATTGAAAATGTATATTTATTTGTTGATTTTGCTGTTAACATTTTCATATAATATTAACCAACTTTGGAAAAAGAATGGAGTTACTTTGCTTAATGAAAGTGAAACTTAGATAGTGTGTGCAGTGTACTATCTATTTAAACCACAGCTAGCATGTAGAACAAAAGACTTGGCCGTGCTGTATTGGACATACAAGCATGTCATAAACCAGTGCGTTCCACGTTTTGTTGCACTCTCGTTACTCACTAGTGCAGTAGCCAATCAGAGGCTGTGGTTTAAGCCAGATACAATATTTCATGTACACCTTGGTGACTCGTATTGTATATATCACATATGAGAAGATGAAAAGTTGCTTTAGCTGCATTTGTTCATGTCTTAACTCCATGTTACTTCTTGTATGATATCGAATCTTGTAAAATCTATTTATTGTTGTGCATTTTATAAAAATTTGTTATATTAAAATATATCTGAGTTGTTTATTATGAGAATTGTTACATTATTTAAGCCTTTGATGTTCTGAGATGGAATGAATATATTGATTGTTTCTTTTCATGTCTGTAACAGTCTATGGACTGTCAGAACTAATGTGCTGCAAAAACATTGCTTTTATTAAAAATAAAACTTTTCTTGGTCAGAAATGATCGTATGTTTTATTTTGTTTAAAAAAAGTTCATGTTTTCTGACTATGCCTACAAACATCCACCCACTACAAAAAAAGAAAGATAATCAATCTTGGCTTGTGTGATTGTTGATGAACAAGAAAAAAGTTCTTTGAACATTTGAAGTTTTCAGGATAAGCATTTATTCGAGAGGGAAAGAAGTGCTTATCATTTCTACTGAATTTGAGTCAGATTCTGTTCTCATAAAAAAGTCTTTTCATCATTTTCAGTTCTTCTCTTTTCCTTGGCAAAAGTCTGAACTCTGTGATCTTTAGTTGTTAGAAATTTTGTTAAATGACTAATGTTGTTGCCCTCTAGTGAATTCCATCTTAACCCAACCAAACAAGTAACATTTTAAGCCAATGAAGCACTGCCCTCTATTGGCATAAACTGTAACTAGACAAGTTACAATTTATGCTGATAGAGGGCAGCAGTTTCTAGTTGAGCAATTCTCAGAGGGTACAGCTTAGAATGCATGGCAGTGGCTCCTTTGGGCTTTATTCCTGCCTGATGATTGATGGTAAAAGCACACTTAAAAATGGGAAAGAGAAGTGTCTTCACTTCCATGGTTGAAAGCTTTCAGAATTGTGCCTGATTTAAAAATTTTCTTTATTCATTTTTTTCATATGGCCTAGTACGTTGAGAAAATGCCAGCTACATTTTCAGTTTTTACAACTTGTACCCGTGAATTTTATAACCTACACTGAGAAAAGAATAAAATCATGAATTTATTAAGTTTATTGTAAATAAAATAAAATTAATCATCAGAATTTGCCTTTTAGTGTTTAGAATTACAATAAAATGCAAAAGTGCAGGTAACATTCTTTAATAACAACATGCTAGGAGAAAAGTGATCATATTTTCAAGAGTAAATTTGTAGGACGGAATGATAAATCACATATCTGCACCACTAATAAAAACTTCCAATTTTTAATTTTTATAATAAATATCACTTGAAATAATCAAACGGGATATTTCTTATATAAAATCAACATTCATACTTTTCCTAAATAACTTCCTGATTATAATTATTTGAAATATAATTGGTCAGCAATTTCTATACATGTATATAAAACCGTCTTGTATAAGAAAAGGACATCAGATATTTAAATAAAATAATTTGGTCAGCAATATGAGAACAATCTGGGTATTCATGGCACTACACATAAAAAAAAATGTTCCATTTTAATCTCAACTATTACCGGATTAAAAATGTGCACCAATAATTCACAGTTAAATATCATATAATACATGTAGCTCACAAAAATGTCACACCTATCAGTTCTGATTTTAATTCCTCGCAGTAAATGTGGCACTGCAACTCCCTGACTAGCATTACTACAGTCCACTTTGAAATTGTCCAATAATAATGTTAATAATAATTATATATTAATAAAAATAAAATAACAAAACAACTAGAATTAAGTAACATAAGAGGTTTTTGTGGGAAATGAAAATACTTAAATCTAAAATTCATACTAAAATGAAAACTATTAATTCATAAATACTTGAGTACACTTGTTATATCAAAAATAACTAGCATTTGGTAACATGGACGGTTTCAAGATTCTAAATGTCAATTTTTTAAAACTGGCATTGTAAATCTTACAAATTTGAACGAAAATGAAAATCAATATAAATAAATAAATAAATATCTAGTGCATCCTAAAGGACTAGCACTAAGTGACATGGACGGTGAGAGGATTCTGAATTTTCATCACACAGTACGCACTGCCAAAAACCTGCAATATCTGTACAACAGTACAAATCACATTTAATGCAATAAGCATAGAAAAATCCCTCTTCATTTCTTCACGTAAGAGATCATAGCACCCAAGCTTGTAAACTTGGTATTCACCGGGACCTTGAAAACCACAATTTTCTTTGGCAGACAAGGAATTATCATCACACAGACACGTCTTTGGCGGCAGCAGGGGGGACCAATCGCTCATATTATGTATACCACAGCACTTGAAGTTCATTTGCAGTGTGTCCCAGCACTTTTGCTCCTCTGTATCATTGAGGAGGTACTCCCCCTGTGATTTCTTTAAGATCTTTAACAAATCTCCATCTTGAATTGCTGCAGCGTCATGGCCTATGAGAACAGCACAGCAGATTTCTACAATCAGTACGCTTATGAAAATCCACAGGAATCTGCGTACAAACTGAAGGTTACCGCCACGTAGGATGTTATTGTATGCCCCAAATAGTCCGAGTATCGTAACTGCTGCTCCAACGATGAGGTCCAGATATACAGGCACCTGATACTGATGCAGAAATGTACAAACGAAAATTTGTCGACTCAGGGTCCATGACGACAAAGAAAGCATCAGAACTCCCTGGATTAGGAGCAAAATAATAAATCCTGATACAAGACATCTCAAATAGCGCTCTCGTTTTTCTCTGTCTCCCAAGTCAATTTTACTCATCAGAATATGTGCAGTCCATGTACGGACTAATACTGCTTTACGGCACCTAGTTTATTTAACTGTATATGTAGATTCACAGTCTCTGTGGCTTAAAAGGTTTTCATCAATCTCCCACTTCCACCATCAAATATAACTCTCACAAATCATAATTTTCCAAGCTAGTTTCTGTTTTATTGAATCATGAAAACTCTGTGCTGTTTACTGCCTGCTAGTCAATAAGTCAATAAGGCTACAAGCCTACAACCATATAACTGTAGCTTCCTGTAGGAAAAAGCATCATCCAAATCACTAAGATAATCCGTGTAACTTTCTCTCAACTTGTTTCCTGAAAATAGGGAGGCTGCTGTTTATAAAATTATTCAACTCCTAGCACTGCATATACTGTATTACTGAGTACTAGTACTAGTATACGATCCAACAGAAATTCTCGTGTGCAGTCAATAAAAGTCAAACATAACTAAGCCAATTCACAATTTATTGATTCCAAGGAGGTTAAAATATACCTCCTACTTAAAATGTGTTTACACTATCATTAATGTAGTATTGATCCATCAAAAACCCACTGGCATTTAGTAAAAGTTCACCAATCAATGAGGCATGCATTAAGTTGTCACGAAGTTGACATATGTGTACTGTATAAAACACTGTTTGTTGATCATGGGAAATGCATCAACCATGTGGTATTTATTCTGTACATCTTCTACTAACATTCAAATCAAGATACTGCCAATAATAATAATAATAATAATAATAATAATAATAATAATAATATTATTTAATTCTGAAAATAAATAATTTCAAATAAAAAATAAATAATCTATATAATTTCTCTTTTAAATAGTAAGAGTGATTTGATCATAAAATCTGAATTAATCACAAAAGCAAAACCAAGTTTGCTAAGACATGATGTGAACCAGCGCTGATTGTGAAATCCAGCTCGAATTTCAACTAGTTCAAGATCTACCGTTGTGTAGGGTCACTACCAAGGCAACTTTTTTCAATTTAAAAATTCATTAAGAACACCTACATAAACAAAATGAAGTTTGCAATATATGTCCTTCGTTAATAGACACTTTTGAATAAAATAAACTTCAAAACCTGCCAGAAACTAGTCGACCCAGTTTCACTCACCCAAACTGTGTTTGGCCTAATTTCTGCTCCGACAGTGTGTGACCTTGACCGAATAAGTAGGTTAGTCAAGAAAAGCAGGTGGAAAAGGGGGCATAAAATGTTCGTTATATGTAAAATGTGCACATTATTTACGACCATCGATGTGGAATTTTCTGTATGTAAGTAGTATTGCATGTTTGTGCTTTTACTGACTAAATCTGTTGCTGAATTAAAAAATAAATAAAATGTCTTGAAACGAAATCAAAAGCGAAAAACACCGGCGGGTGCCCTCTAGCGGTAGATGCGCATGCAGTAAATTTCCATAAAATCTTCTAGGTTAGCACTTTGCACATTAGTTTAACAGCTGCTTCTTTTCTTTTCCTCTGCCGATAAACGTAGAGAGGTCATCTACCAATATATGTTCTTTAACGAAGGATTGTGAAGGCCTGTTACGCCTACAGTATTCCTGCGTGTCCTCACGTACACTATGAATGGCGGGGGTCACCCGTCTAAATTCTAAAAAAATATATATTTATTTCTAGGTCAAGGCTTTGTCAAAATACGCCATTCTTCAAGGTAAAGTAAAGTCTCTCACAGACAGAAAAAGATGGTGGGCAAAAAGCCGAACGTGATTGTTGTTGGGGCTGGACTTAGCGGTAAGACATTGAAAGAGAAGCTGAAAATTAAATGTTGTTGTAATGATGCTGGTAAACATGTACGTGTATTTACTAGAGAGGAAAGATAGAAATTAGAATGCTGGCACTTCTGCGGTACCTAGACAAGCATGAATAACCATGCTCCAGGCGTTTTTATTTACTTTGTTCAGTATCTGCAAATAATGCCTGTTATGTATTTTAATTTGGACTCTAATTGAGCTTCTATAGCATCTTAGTGCAATAACACAGACTACATGTAATTTGGTAACCTTATGATGCTGAAGTGCCGCACAACCAAGCTAATGTCATGAGCCTGGGTCTACCCCAGCCAGTCAATAACCTCAAGGTCTAAAGAAAAAAAGAATATGAATATTTACACACACATCCCTGCAAAACTTTGGGCTTAGGCAGGTTCATTCATATTAACAAAATAAGTGTTGACAGATACTGCCATGATATAGCATTGCAATAGCAAGCCCCTAGCCAGGGGGGAGTTCGAAAGAACCACCTTTTTTGCTGGGAAAAGGTCCACTCTGGGTAAAATTTGATCTATGTACTTGAAGATTTTATGGTAAAAGGTCCACTTTTTCAAAAAAAAAAAAACGAACCTCCTCTTTGAAATTGCTGGCTATGGGCCTGAATGGTATTTGTTTTTAGGCTGCGCAAAGACATCTGGAAGAATTTGTTTCATTTGTCCAGATCTCATTGTAAATTACTCAGGCACAACACAAATATGACCTGACTGAAAAAGAGTTCAGAGATTGAATTAGATGTTATTAATTTGGTGTATTACATGTAATTAATGTATGTAATAAAACTATATATAAACCACCTATTTCAATGCCTTGTCTGAAAATTGTATATCTGCATTTATTCCAGGGTTGTCTGCTGCAAGAACGCTAAACGAGGCAGGCGTAGATGTCGTAGTTCTGGAAGGAAGAGACAGAGTGGGAGGAAGAGCCTATACTACTGAGGTAAAGTCTGGTGTCATATGTTATCTGATAGTCTTTAAGGTGTATGTGACTTGAGAAGGTTGTATCACTTATCACTGGCTAAAGCACAATACATTCTTGATTCCATTGGAAATGGAGTGTATATTGTTTTTAGTAAATCAATGTTTTTATAATATTTTGCTAAAGAAAGTTTTTTATGTATATAAAAGGACGTGTTCACAACCAGTTGATCCATGAACTAACTAGGCCCTGGATCAAATATGGCGTGACCCACTTGAAAGAGTGCTGAGATTTAATTACTCTTCTGGAATGGCACATGTAGGACAGGGATGGATCCAGAAATATTTTCTGACAGTCTTCCAAATGATCTTTGTTGATCCATCTTCCATTTTTCACCGTCATCTGACAGAAAAATATACTCGTCAATCTAAACTTGAAAATTTAACCATCTTCCGAAAGACCCAGAAGATGGCCTCAATCCACCCCGGGGCAGGGGGGGCAGCTGCACCCCCTGGGATTTGAGGTGCAAAAAAAATAAATGCAAAGATAAAAAAAAAATCTGATTGAGCAATAAATAACAGTTAAAAATGCACCAGAATGCAGTATTATACATACAGTTTAAAAAAATTTTCCACCCCCCCCTCCCACACCCTCCCCCCTCCGGGGCTTCGCCTCCTTGTGTCCGCTTACTGCCTGTCCCCCCCCCCCCCCCTGGCATTTTGCTCAGGCTATGGCCCTGCATATTTGATCTGCAGACTGGTTAGTTCATGGATCAACTGGTGGTGAATGTTGCCATATTGAAGAACTAAAAAAAAAACTTTTTCTGTTTCAGAGAGGCAGTGACATGGGAGGGGCGTATGTGGTTCCGTTTATATTCACAGAACTTCATAAACTGGCCACTGAGTTTGGCGTAAAAGCTGTCAGCACCAATTCAGAAGGAAAGAAAATATACTACAAAAATGTGAGTTGGAAATTAAAGTGTAAAAGATTATTTTGTTGACAGTGTGGTGAGGTATTTTGTGATATTTATCTAACAGGTAACTTTGAAGATGTTTTTTTTTTTTTTTTAGTAACTAGTTTGATATACAATTATGGAAATATTGATACATCTTGAAATGCGCAGTTTGATTTTTCATTTATTTATTTTACCAGGGAGAGGCCAAATCTTTTGATGATCATGTGAAGCTTTTTGCGAACCCTTTGGCAGGCCTGGATGTCAACCATTCCTTGGTAGAAATTCAGAGATACTGCAATATGGTAAATTTGTTTTCTTTTTAACTTGTTAATTTATTTGCCCCTTCTCCCAATCCATCAATAAATTGTTTCGTTGTGTTTTTGTTAGATTGCCTACTCACTCATTTACTCTGCCTTTCATTCATTCGTTCATTCATTCATTGAACTTTTGATGTAGCTCCCAATGTAAGCTTTAATGAACTTTGGTATTTATTATTTACTGTAAAGTATAGAAATCGAAGTAGCATGTCCTTTTACATATTAATTAACAAAATGAATAGTTAAAAAAAGTAAATAATGAAGCTGATATTTTTCTTTTTTTATCAGATGCAGATAGATAAGCCCTGGAATTTCAAAGGAGCAGAGACACTGGATAAAATGACTCTGGAAGAATGGATAAAAGCCAACACATGGACACAGTGAGAACTCTCTCTTTTCCTCTTCCTCCTCCCTTACCTATTGTATAAATATCTTAGAATAAAGTACTCTTTCTTTTTTGAGCATGAATGAAATGTTATTCTGCAGGCCTGTAGCCAGCAATTTCAAAAGGGGGGTTCTTTTTCTGAAAAAGTGTACCTTTTTCCATAAAAACTTCATGTACCTAGATCAAATTTCACCCAGAGTGGACCTTTTCCCAGCAAAAGGGGCGGTTCTTTCGAACCCCCCGAACCCCCCCCCTGGCTACAGGCCTGTTCTGTATTCTGTAATGAGATATTTCTAACTTTCCTCAGATTTCTCACTCTTTGGAAGCCAAAAATGTCATTTTTGAGATTGATGCAGATCTGCCACACCTAATTTTCAGACGTTTTCCCTAACGACCATCTCACCTATGTCTGTTATGAATATTTCAGGGAGGCGCGCGACTTTCTCCAGGTGTACTGCGTGACCAAGGCGGCAGTGGAGCCCTGTGAAATTTCATTTCTGGCCTTTGTCTGGAAGGTGAGATATGTGTACAAAACAGCCTTAAAAAATAACCATCATCATGAAGACAATATCATAATATTACCTCAGAAATCAGTGGGTTGAATGTTATCTCCCCCTTAACTTGAACGTACAAAACTTTAGAAAATTACCGTTTTGGTGACAAAAATATAATATTCCCAAAAAATCAGCAAGCTTCTTCCAGTCCGTGTTTTCTGTCCTGGGCTTTGGACTCCCAATTTGGTGTTTGCCAGTACTACTCGTCTTACTTAGTACAAGTGATTTTCTGTTAATTTTTTTTTATAGGTTAAATCCATGGGGAACACAAGGGAGGCGTACTCTTCTGGTGGTGGAGGTCTCACAGTGTATGCAGGGGGAATTGGGCAAATTACTCAAAAGATGGCGCAAGAGCTCGGAGGTATGGCAAGATGAGAGCAATTAGAGGTGTGAATTTTGAGTCCATCTAAAGTTATAAAACAGATGTGCTGTATTTTTTCACTAATTGTCTGTTTCAAATTTGAATGAATTTTTAGAGTAAGTCAAGATGCTCTTCCATTTGGAGGATTTCCTTACTTTTGATAATCTGTAGATGTTATATTAAATTTTCAGTCTGAGAAATGCAGTTAAAAACACATTTAAAAAAATCCCTACAAGAAACTGTTCATAACCCGTAGAAGTTTCAAGCTTTTTATTTAAATTAATAAATTCCTAATTGTATTCCATACCATTGACCTAAATTTAATTTCAGAAGTGAAAGCTAATAAATGCTCTTAATGAACTGAAATATAAGCAAATGAAATTTTAGATAAAGTGCAGTTGAAGAAAAATGTCCAGCGAGTGGCACAGCAAGGGGACAGCATTGAGGTGACGACAGAAGATGGGAAAACTTTTAAGGTAGCCTCCGATTTCACTTTTGCTGTGAATTTTAGATTTTGTCTCCCCATTTGCTATAAGTGTTAAAAAATATTGCATCACTGCATGTGAAATCAACACATTAAAAAAAAAACCAAAAATTGTAATGAGATGAACCAATTTACACTTTTTTTGTACAAATTTCACAGTCCATGTGAAGTCTAATGTCAATATGTTTAACCTAGATGTTATACAAAGTAAAAACTTTTTTTTTTTTGAAAACTGAAAAAAAATCAATAACTATTTTGTAAAGATCCATGGTACATTTTAGGCGGACTACATGATTCTGACTACCCCTGCTGTGATGCAGTTAAAGATGACCTTTGACCCCCCACTGCCACCGCTCCGAACACAGCTTTTACAGAGGCTACCCATGGGGGCAGCCATTAAGTGTAAACTAACTTACAATCAGCCGTTTTGGCAAGAAAAAGGTATGGATTGGAAGTGCTGTTATTATTTAGTATGGTTGCACTGTTGAATCATTTATAAAGATCTAATATTTTACTATGAACATAATCTAAGATCTTTTTTTTTACCAGTATGTGAAGCTTAAATGTTTCAAACTTGAATTTTTTAATTAAAACAAACAATAATAAGAATGCAATCTAAATGGAAACAACATGCTAATGAATGACAGTATTCATTTTTTTAGTGTTATTGATAAAACCAATTATACACATATATGTAGCTGCCTAACAATTGATACATACAGCTTTTAACAGCTATAAATGGATTGCTTAATCAAACTGCAATCATATTTTCGCATTTCAGGCATAATGTTGAATGGATTTGCATTGATTGAATATTTAACTGGAATAATTTTTTTTAAAGGACTTGATAAAAAATGTGATTAATTAACTTCCAGGTTATAATGGGTTCACTCTGGTTGAAGACAAAAATGAGCCAGTCTCATGGGTGTTAGATGACTGTTATCCAGGAGCCAAGAGCTATGGACTTGTCAGGTATAAAAATCCCAGGTAGCAGGTAGTCGCGGTGCAGGGGCTTTTCCCAGGATTGGGGGTACAGGTCGTCCAAAAGTATCACCTGTAATTTTTTACACAATTTTAGGGAGTCTAAGTCATCATTTTCCAGGGGAAAAAAAGCATAAGCTGTCCAGCTGTCTTTGAAAATATTGGGCATCTGGTAAGGCCCATGGCTGTCTAAATGACAACTGGACAGTTCGCTTGGAAAAGCCTTGAGTTGGTGGCTATTAATGGAAAATAGCACTCTTACAACTGTTGGCCCACCATGTATATGCCACCATCTGGTGGAGTGCTGCCCTCTAGGGAGGGAGGCTGTTGGTTCATTCTCGATGTCGGGGACATAACAAAGATTATTATGCAAATAGAACTTTGTGTCTCGATCCTTGCTAAAAAAAGTAGCCACTCAGTTAGCATCTGTATGTGTCTTTATATATTCTGATGGCTTTGTTAATAACAAAGAAGCAATGAAACATCTGTCATCCTGTTTTAGTTTCTTGGTTGGTGATAAAGCCAGAAACCTAGCACAGTTGGGGAGAGAAGAGAAAATAAGCCAACAGTGTAAAAGTCTCGCCAAGATTTTCAACTCCCAGGATGCTCTAACGGTACGCTGGCATTTGAATATGCACTTCTGTATATCATATGAAAAGTCTTCCATTTCATGGATCTTTTATGTTATGCGTCCTACCATAAAAATATATAAAATCTGCATTTTATCACTGTTTGAATTTTCAATGTGTATGGAAAATATTTTAGATGTTTTTATATAGATGCATGAAGCTTTTAAAAAGATGTTAGGTGTTTAATTATACTTTGGATCTAAGTATTCAGTTACAATTAAAATGAAAATAACAAAGAATGCATATTTTGTGCTCACACACCACTGAAGATGATGAACTCTTTGTTTTCCAGCCTTCAGGTTATGAAGAGGTGGACTGGATGTCAGAAGCATTTTCATTGGGTGGTTTCAGTCATGCATATCCACCAGGGGTACTGACCAAGTACAAAAAGTTAGTAACTTTCTCTTCCTTTCTCTTTCTCTCTCTCCCTTTCCCATTTCTACACATACCATTTTTATCACTATAATATTTGATGTTATCCGGGATGAGATTTTTTAAGAGTCAGAAATATCAATATAGTTGGGCGCTTGATCCCCGCACTATATTTTCTCAACTTTTTCACTTAGTGTCAGTCTCATCCCTGTGTTATTGTAAACAGTTTTGTGAAAAAGAGTTAAAATTTGAGATTCACTTGACCATTGACCTTGATATATAAGTATTCAGTCCCCATGACACTGGCTACGTTTATCTAAGAAAATGTATTGTGATTCTTTGAAAAATAAGGAAGGAGTTATGATTTGATAGTGTTATAAAAAAAGAAAAAAAAATGAAAAAAAGCATATTCAGTTTTCTCTGTGAACCAGAGGGAAGGTGTTTTTTATTATGGAACAGAAACTAGTTCCATGATGTTATATAGAAATATATACTGTATATATAAAGTTTAAAAAGAAAAAAATGCCCTAAAATATTATTTTCAGTCTTCTCCGAGAGCCAGTTGGCAGGTGTTATTTTGGTGGAGCAGAAACGGCAGCTCCAGGTACAGCTGGCCTTGAAGGCGCTGTCAGGTCTGGCCAGAGAGCCGCAAGACAAGTAAGATACAGGCAGTTCCAGACTGAACTTACAAATTGTTTTAAAAAATGCAAAAAAAGTCTTCCAAAAAGGTGAAAAAAATGTCTAAAGGATTAAAAAAATGTCTAAAGGATTTAAGTAGATGAAACAATACATAAAATATACATGCCTTAATTTGGTCCACATTTGTAGTTTATTAACTCTCAGAGTTCAAATTGGTAAAAAAAATTATTTTGACAAATATGTCTTAAATAGCTGATTTTCTACTTGATCCTTTTGTTATATCTAAAATCTATCTTGCAGTATCCCCCCTCTGCAACCTTTTTAGCCTTCCAAATTTCACTATTTTTTCCCTGCAAATTTTACAAAAAAAGTCCTCCAAATAATAATGATAAATAAGGCACTAATTATGACAATGAAATTTTTTACAGGTTTAAAAAGCAATCCCATTTTGGTTCCAAAATTAATGTTACACACTAAAGCTTAAAGAAATAGCTTACAATTGACAATCCTTTGACACAAGCCTCCTAATCATGGGATAATTGGATTTTTAGATTAATTTATTTTAAGATTCTGAAAGGCTTTGTGTGCATCATTTTCTAGGTGCTGAATGCTATGGGGAGACTGCCTCTTTCTGATGTGGAAGATCCAGATGCTAAAAAGGTACAGTATAGACTCAGTCTGTTCAATGGTGTAATAACCAGCTGGTTGGTTATACACTGGTTAGTCTTTTCAATGGTGTAATAACCAGGGCCCAGTTTCATAAAGGACGTTTAGCACTAACCAGTGGATAAGCCTAACCAGTGGATAAATTCTCCTAACACCCATTCACTAAAAGATGGTTCAAACGTGTTTCATATACAGTGTTCAAACAGCCAATTACCCAGCTAGAAAAGTAGTCCCCTTTGCAGTCTGCTTGCAGTCTCCTTAACAGTCCCCCTATGGAGCCTGCTTTGCAGTCTCCCTAGCAGTCCCTGCTCCCACAGCAGTCTCCTTTGCAGGTATCGTTAAGTATGGAGGGAGTCTCCTTGGCAGTCTTAATTTGCATTTTTGGAACGCGCTGCCAGGGGGACTGCCAGGGCAGTCCCCCTGGCAGTCTGCTT